TATTCTCTTTTTGGTGTGTATATGACTCATTATTAATGTAATATAAATCATGATCATAAGTTAACCAATGTAAATGTGCCAGTATATTATTTTTCATGATCGTTGAACCCTGTAACGTTAATATGACTAATGACTAATATTGCCTCTATCAATTTAAGTGAATGAAGTTTCATACCTCCCCGTCTCGTCCGCGCCATCAAACTGCCCTGGTACAACCTGATACATCGCGGTGCTCCAACTTTAATTAAAGAAAACGCCCGAATCCTTAAAATATATCTCAACAAAAAAAAAGAGAATGTAAAGGAACTGACCGAACACTGTCAAAACATGCTTGCATACCAACAGCACGCACGCACGCACGCACGCACGCACACCAGCGTACTCCCACTTCCAGCAATGTGGGTAATTACGGGTGCTGAGAAGGCTCAAAGAGAGAACTCGAAACGCTAAATTAAGCACCCATTTTCAGCAGGTTAATCATTTATGAATTATTGTACTTCATAAAGATACATTGCTGATATCAAACGTATGTAGGCAGAGAGGTTGCTAGGATGTTCTGGATGGTTGATATGACGTTGCTAATACTACATTTTTATTTATAATTATCAAACAATTACTATTTACTGGCCACAATCACCTTTATATAATTTAAGTTAAATAATAATAGTATTAAATATGAATAATACTATAACAATATTAATGTTAATATAATATAAAAAGTTTTAATTAAGAACAAATATAGACAGAAAAAATAGAACTGAATTTCTCACTCTTTCTTAGTGTACATTTATTGATTGGATGATTTCTTCGCTTTACAGGGTTGAAAAAACAAGGTGGAAAAAGCAAAATCAAGGAGTTGTCTACTCTACATCTGAATTGATCTGACAGGTATTTGCAATCCATCTGACAAACATGGTCACTGATATCTGAATTAATTACAATTTGCAGAATTTTTGCAGAAAAGGTTTGGTACAATTAGGCCTAAACATAGAGACCAAATTCAGTCAAATGCTCTTAAATGTAGTGTAGTGAACAGAGCTTGCATTTTATACACCAGACAGATACACAGATTTTGAAAAGCCCCTGAGAACGAGAATAACTGAGAAATTCAAATTAGATCAACATGCAAAAATCATTCTTTTTATAATCATAATGTCAAACCCATCAAATCATACTCTATGGTTCAATGCTCTCAAATGAATAGATAGTTGAACTGGTAGAAGGTTTCATTAGCTGACAAACAAAAAGACACACAAAAGATATAATTATCTAAAGCATCTGAATGTACAAAGTATCTGAAAATGCAGAGAACCTCACAATCTCAAACAACATTCATCTTTTTGATTCTCCTCGCTGCACAAATTGGATTCTACATGGCTTTTCAAAATTACATCCACACACCCTAGACTGATCAATAAATACCTGCATAAAATGTTCAGTGTTTTCTATCCATATGACTGTGCACACCCACACGCACTTGTACACATTTACAAGTACAAACATCATTACACAAAAACAAAAGAAAGAAAAATGTTTCAACAAATATAAAGACCAGTTCATTTACAATGTTTCAATTGGTTTTAAATCCAAACTCACAGCTTTCAAAATGTATGAAAACTAGCAAACATTTTGCCACTGAGAGGACTTCAAATTCATTGAATCTCAAATGCAGTTTTGTGTGGGCTTCAGGGGTTATTCAAGTCACTTAATTGCAACAACTAATGTAAAACTGTACAATTTTTGTTTTGTTTTGTTTTAGGGAAGATTGATATCCCTTCTACATAAACCAGTATAAGGGATACATTTTAGATTCCTTTTTAGAACCGATATCTACCGGATAAAAAGAAAAAAAAGTGTTGTATTTTTAGTGTGATCACCAGTGTTGAAGTCAAAATGAATCCTAGGGGGAAAACCAAGAAGGCAAATCACACTTTAAAGATACATCAAATGTACTCTGAATCACACTGACATTAAATACATAATGCGTGACTCTCAGAAGCACTCTTCTCTCTGATGCACAGGCCTTATAATATAATACTTCACACTCTGCGCCACCAGAAGGCGCTGTTTCAAGCTTCCCAGCCACTTGTACATGTCTTCTGCAACATTTGTCAATGAGGCTCAAAGCTGGAGGATAATATACAAAGAATGGGCAAATATTGCCGATAAACTGATTGGCCGACGATCACCCAAAATAAAAATTACAGAGCTAAACAGCAATTCTATCCAAAATGTATTCAGCCAATCTTGAAAATGAAAATGAGTCAGGCACTTGAGCTCTTCAAATCCATAAGACAAAAAAAGAAACCAAACAACTCCATACAGATACTAAAAACATACAGAAACTGACTTAAGAATAATACAATTTAATGCTGATATATAAATCTTCTGTTCATCATACAAATGCTTCTAATTTATTGATATAAAGGCTTTATATGATTCATTAAAAATCATATAAATAGGATTAAAATTGCTACTGTCCAGTTATGTGTTGATCCAGATCTTTAGAAAAAAGCATTAAGGCATCAGAAGGATCACTGTGCTTCAAAATCTGTCTTCAAAATCGGTCATGCACACTGTATAAGACAAATATCGGCAGAAGCCAGGCTTTGCAACTCCTAGTGTTTGTGGAAGCTTGATAACTATGGCACAAAATCAACAGTGAATTTTCTCTTCACTGATCGGGTGTCTCCGTCATTTCCTGAGCTGCTGTACAGCTATGGACACTGATTTTTGTGAGTTCTGGATCACAGCCTGATGTTTGATGGTCCTCCTGTTCAGCCCCATCCGGCTGAGATTCTTTGCGAGGTTCTTCAGCAGAATTCATCTCCATGGATGAATCTTCAGGATGCTGATTTTCCTCCACATGTCCTTCACTCTCTTCTTCTTGAGGTGCTCCTGCTTTCTCACATTCATTCTCACTCTGGATTGGAGCTGTTGCTTCACTTTGACTTGCAGATGAACACCTAACCTCTTTTCCCTCCAGCATTTCACCGTTATCTCTTGCTCCATCCATTTCTTCATTTATTTCTGCCTCATCTGTGGGTTTCTGGTGGACGCGTTGATGCCTCACCAGACTGTGCTTCAGGGTGAAGGTGCGGTGACAGGTTTGGCACTTATAAGGCCGCTCACCTACAACAACAAGGGTCATGTTAGATGCATCAACTCTTATATTTTAATTGTGTTAAAGGGATAGTTCACCCAAAAATGAAAATTCTGTCATTAATTACTCACCCTCATGTCGTTCCAAACCCGTAAGAGCTCCTTTTATCTTCGGAACAAAAATGAAGATATTTTTGATGAATTTCGAGAGTTCTCTGACGCTCCCATAGACAGCAATGTAATTACCACGATCAAGGTTCAGAAACGTAGCAAGGACATTGTTAAAATAATCCATGTGACATCAGTGGTTTAACTGTAATTTTACGAAGGTACGAGAATACTTTTTGTGCGCAAAGATAATAAAAACGACTTTATTCAACTATTTGTCTCCTCTGCGTCACCCTGGTGCCATTTTGGAGAGTATCCACTGAACGTAAACAACGTATGCTGTTCTGTGTCAGCTGCACCAAGGGGATACGTTTTCTACATTGTTTACGCTTTGATCTGAATGAAAACAACGTATCCGCATGGCGCAGCTGACACAGAACAGCATACGTTGTTTACGTATGTGATGCTCTCCAAAATGGCACCAGGGTGACGCAGAGGAGACAAATTGTTGAATAAAGTCGTTATTTTTTTTCTTTGCGCACAAAAAGTATTCTCGTAGCTTCGTAAAATTACGGTTGAACCCCTGATGTCACATGGATTATTTTAAAGATGTCCTTGCTACGTTTCTGGACCTTGATCGTGGTAATTACATTGCTGTCTATGGGAGGGTCAGAGAGCTGTCAGAATTCATCAAAAATATATTCATTTGTGTTCTGAAGATGAACGGAGGTCTTACGGGTTTGGAACGACATGAGGGCGAGTAATTAATGACAGAATTTTAATTTTTGGATGAACTATCCCTTTAATAAATTGAGGATAGTAAATAATACCAGTAAAATGCTCCAGATCTTACCAGTATGTGAGCGCATGTGTCTGGTCAAGTCTTGCAGGCTCCAGAAGCGTTTGCTGCACACAGCACAGATCTTCTTCCTCTTGTCGGTTTTGCCTCCAGCAGGGTTGCCCTCCTCTTCCAAAGCCCTGAGCTCTAAGGAAGCAGCCTCTTCTTCATCATCACTCATCTCTTCCCTCTCCTTCTCCTCCTCATCAGCACCACTTTCCACACAGCTGCTGTTCTCGTCCTTTTCATCATCTTCTAACTTTGCCTCCAGCTCCAGCTCCAGCTCCAGCTCCAGCTCCTTTCTGGGCACTGTGACTGGGTTTCGAGAAGCAGGTTGGCGTCTTCCCTTTTTGCCTCCATCCTCTGGCTGGACCTCCTGAATGTGAGTTTTCTGGTGCCGGCTGAGGGTGGCTGCATGGCGAAAAGTCTTCTTGCAGGATGCACAGGTGTGTGGGAACTCATCTGGTGGAGAAACCGGTTCAGCAGTTGATTTAGGCTGGTGCTGCTCTGTTCCAGAAAGCTTGAAGTCTACAAGCTTGTTGGCGAGATTCATATCAAGACTATTATTGCTTTGAGAGTCATCATCATTATTTTCTACTCCCTCCGGGCTTCCCTCTGCTAGCTGTGTTTGGTTTGGGTCTGAGATGCTGTCTGTTTGTTCAGCGGCTGATTGTCCTGTTTGATCTGGTGCTTGTTCTGGAGATGAAGCTTTCTCCTCTTGTTTGGGGTTGACAGAGCTCAGATCCACAATATCTCTGGTTACAGGAGGTTCAGTGTCAGATACACTCTCTACCAAGACAAGAAAAGCTTGTTAAGCACTATACACATTGCACTGCTTTGCATACACAAGTTCACAATGATGTAATAATATTCAATTATATTATAATATTGCAATATGAAAAGTCTTGTTGCTACACAGAAAACACACTAAATTACAATACACCATGAAAGAACCATCAACCCTTCATCTCAAAATTTAAATCAGCACATTTCTGGACAAAAAATGTTAACTGATCTTACTTCATACAGTATATATGCAAGACCATTAGTGCTAAATATTCATATATAATATAATGTTACTGACCAATAGTACTAGTACTTCCTTGGGATCCTTCGTCAGCCTTAGGTTTGGGTTCAGATCCACTGTTTTGAAGAGTCCGATTAGATATTCCATGTTTGCGGAGCAGGTGGCGCTCACAGTTTGACTTTGTGGAGAAGAATGACTCACACTGAGGACAAGGATATGGCTTCTGACCTGTGAAATCAATGCACAAAACTGTAACACTCTGAAGAGAGAAACAAAACTTTATTGACTCAAATACATTGGATAAAATA